TAATGTTTCTAATATCCTCTTTGGTTTTATATAAACAAAAATAGAAAAATTTCCCAAGGGGGATAAAGATTCAAGCTGTATCTTCCCTCAGGCTGGTAGATGTTCGCGTCGCCTACGCTGAGACTGCATTTGTCGGTCTCCAACCCTAGGTTCGCGATGCCCATGTGCCCGAAACTGCTGCCAGGCGTGTAGCCGCCCAAGCAAGCGAAGTCGCAACCCAGCCTGCTCGGATGCGCTTGTGCCCGCAGGCACTGGCGCACCAAGTAGATCATCCCGAGCTTCTGCATCAGAGACATCAAGAGAAAGATCCTCAAAGCAAAGGGGCCCCGTCTCTTCAAGCTGAGGCCAAAAACTGCAGCCAAGGGTGTTCTCATGGCCTAAGCGTCTTAGTTGCGCCAAGTATTGCTTAAGTGCAAAGTGTGCCTATTTGCACTGCGTCGAAAGTGCAATCTGCAGATTTGCAGTGCAACTCCGCGGCAAAGAGGCCGCGCTTCCCGCTACTTTGTCTGCGTCTGAACAGCGGTGTACCACGATGTCCCACATGCCTCCGATGACGCCAGATTACGCGGATCAACAAGATCTGCAGGACCTGGGACCATCTTTACCTACGGTCTTTTGACTTATGCTTACTAATTATAGGGCAGTTACTACGACTGTGTAGGAAAATAGAGTCCCAGGGACGATTTACTAAGTTTACTAACGGGGGGGGAGGGGGGGGCTGTGCGCATTCGGAGAGATCTGGTTTCCGAAAAACAGACAGGCTAGTAGCAGGGGGGTATAAGGGGGCGTTTAATGGAATCACTGGCCATGCAGGCAGTCGAAACTCATCAAGCTCTCAATCCCAAACGTATGAACTATGCAGGTATCAGGGCAAGGAGCAGCTTGGGCTGTCCCTACCAGCTAAGACACATCACGTCTCGCAACCATACGCATGAATACCATACCGGTGGGCCAGGATTGTACAAGCTATTCCCACAGCATCACAAGCCCAGCGCAGGATCTCGCTAGCACTGCGCTGAGCATGTGCAGGGAAGAAGTTAGCAATGCATGTTTGCATGCAAACGAGCATATGTCGATGCATGCCTGATGCGACACATTTACTCCAGCTGGAGAAAAGCTTGCATGTATTTAGGTATGCATGCATGCATGCAAGTATGTATATGTGTATGCAAACATACGTGATGTGCATGCCTACGCATTAAACTGACAATCTGTATGTGTATACATCTACGTGAATGTGCAGACATGGCTGCGAAGCGACCCACACGCCTGCGTGCGACTGCGTTCACCTCTGCCAGATGCATATACCCTAAACCCTAAACCCTAAACCCTGAACCCTGAACCCTAAACCCTAAACCCTAAACCCTAAATATGCTAGCCTACAGGTGCTCTATACTCACAGTGTATGCGGCTTTGTCTACATATACTTCTGCGTATACGCTGCTGAGATCGTATAGCTCCTATGCTTCTCCAGCTTCCGGGCCTGCGGCGCCATTCCGCAGGTTAGAGGTTCTGCCTTTGGGGACGAAATGAACCCTAAAATTGGGGGTCATATACCCTGACTACTATAATTCCTATTAAGGTATATGAACCATAAACCCTTTTAGGGTTCATTTCGTCCCCATGCAAGGCATGTCGGCCCTCTTGGCTTAAGCCGTTGAACATCCTTCTCAGATGTCACTCCGGGGCTCTGGTGATGAAGCTATTTAGCCAGTAGGGTTTAGGGTTTAGGGTTTAGGGTTTAGGGTTAGCATAGACAACCGAAACCTATGGAATCATGAATGCTGATGGCTATATCGATGCGATCAGAAACGCACGGTTGCTTCGCAAAAGGCGGCCAACATCAACACCTCTTGGCATCCCCACGCTATTCTCCGTGTTCTTATGATTTTCCAAGGCACGTCAACTTGATCTGACATGCCCCAATGCTTAGTTGCCCAAAACCCTGGCCCAAAAAAGTTTAAACTTTTCTTTCAGTAGGGGTTTAGTATACCCAAAAAGCTTAAAGTTCACCTACTGGGCTCCTAATAATGTGGCCTTGAGCAGCAGCCACGGCACGCCGAGGCTCTGGCCGAACCTTCCGCTCAAAGTCATGGCCTCGGGATCCATCCTTTAGGGTTTGGGGTTTAGGGCTTTAGGGTTTAGGGTTTAGGGTTTAGAAGCCGCGTGCTGTCAAGAGGCCAGAGCAAAGTGCAGCAGCCGAGTATGCAGCCAATTGTGATGCCCACGGCCTATCACAGGTCAGACCGAAAGAAGGCGCGTGGAGGGCACAGCGAACGTGGCCTAAACCCTAAACCCTAAACCCTAAACCCTAAACCCTAAACCCTAAACCCTAAACCCTAAACCCTAAACCCTAAACCCTAAACCCTAAACCCTAAACCCTACATTCCGCCAGCGCACCGTCACGCCCATATCTCCTCAGGCTCGCTGAGCTTTAGCCCAATCGCTTACAGTCAATGTGCAAACCTTAGGGACCAAATGAACCCTAAAAGGGTTTAGGGTTTAGGGTTTAGGGGGTTTATGGCTCATGTACCTGAAATAGGAATTATAGTAGTATAGGGTATATGACCCCCATTTTAGGTTTCTATCGTCCCCAAGGAGAAGAAGAAAGGAAGCAGACAAGCCTCCTCCCTTTGTTCCCCAGTTCACCCTTCTTCTCCTTGTTTTTGTATATTGTTGTTTTGTCATGTTTTTCTTGTCGCCCTTGTCATATGGTGAGTCCCACCCTTTTTCTTGCAACATTCTTTCGCCTCGTTCAAGGGCTCGGTAGCCTCCTAATCAACATGCCTCCTTATGCCTCGATGCATTGGGTTTAGGGTTTAGGGTTTAGGGTTTAGGGTTTAGGGTTTAGGGTTTAGGGTTTAGGGTTCTGGGACCAAATCCTAAATTTTGCCTCATGGTTGCTGAAAAGGGTTTGGTCGCCCCTTGGAGGCTCAAAGAGCTCTACGGATTCACCTGCTGAAAGTTGGCATCGTGGGGCGTTGCCATTGGTGTTAAGTCTTTTAACACAATTCGTCGTGTTGGCCAGGCCAACTGAGCGGTGTCCCAGATTCTCACTCGCTCTCCTCACTCGCTCTCTCCTCTCTCGCTCTCTCGCTCTCTCGCTCTCTCGCTCTCTCTCTCGCTCTCTCGCTCTCTCTCTCGCTCTCTCGCTCTCTCGCTCTCTCGCTCTCTCGCTCTCTCGCTCTCTCGCTCTCTCGCTCTCTCGCTCTCTCGCTCTCTCGCTCTCTCGCCTCTCTCTCTCTCCTCTCTCCTCTCTCCTCTCTCCTCTCTCCCCTCTCCCTCTCTCCCTCTCTCTCCTCTCTCCTCTCTCCTCTCTCCCCTCTCCCCTCTCCCCTCTCCCCTCTCCCCTCTCCCTCTGTTTCGCCTTCTCCAGCTTGAGTCCCGCACCCGTCTCTATATCCCAAAGAACACAGCAGCGCCAGACTGCCAGACCTCGAAGCCCAGGGACTGGCCTCGAGCGGCCCGACCAGATGCCGGCGCCGTCGCTCAAAGTGTTCCCGATGGCGGCCCTGGGCACGCAAGGCTGCCGGCTTCTCACTTTTCCAACAGCTTCCGACTCGGGACCCGGGCGGCCATGTGCTGAAGCTCAGGGCCACCTGAGTAGTTCGCCGTCTGGCTCTGAGCAGCCCCACGATCCTAAAGCGGCATGTTCAAGCTTGGGCGCGAGCCGCCGAAGACGATCATGAGAAAGATGTCCAGGAACCCGAACCTGTCAAGCACTCCAGTTCACACAGCGGGAGGGACCCGACGGGCACTTCTCTCGCGGTCTCGTCGCTCTTCTCTGCAAAACACTTCAGAAGCTCTCTCAACCCAATGAGAAAGGCTGCACCTGTGCAGCTGCACACGAGGTGACGGACCTGGCTTGGCATCATGGCCTCCATCCGGCAAATGTCGCAAAAATTCTGCGAGCCTCCACACAGTACAGACGTAGCGATGCTGAGACCCTGCACTGCACGCCTCTCCTGCTTGTCAAATACCCTGCATTGCCCGAAAGCTGTGACCAAGCATATTCTCGTGAGCCCCTGCAGCACACTTCCCCACTGCACAACGGGCAAGGCTCTAAACCCTAAACCCTAAACCCTAAACCCTAAACCCTAAACCCTAGACCCTAAACCCTAAACCCTACACCCTAAACCCTAAACCCTAAAGTTGAAAGCACTGCTGAGCATTGTCTGCCTCCAAGCTTGAGCACAGAGCGCTGCCGCACACCAGTCTGGGACTTGCAGAATGTGACTGTCACGCCAGTCTACGTACAGTGGTCTAGAAAGCAACAGTACCTTGGGGACGAAATGAACCCTAAAATTGGGGTCATATACCCTGGCTGCTGTAATTCCTATTAAGGTATATGAAGCATAAACCCTTTTAGGGTTCATTTCGTCCCCAAGGTACTGACTGGCCTTTTTCTCGGAATGCCCACAGAAAATGAAACGTCTGCCCTTTATGGTCTGCAGTCTCTCACAAACAAGAGGGATCGCAGGATCCTCTCCATAATCTCTCCAACCGAAACCCAACAAGTGACTTTTGACAAAGTGCTCCTTCCTGCGTTTAGGGTCCAAGGCTTTGGCGGGCTGTTGGTCTTTCAGGAAAAGTGCAAGTAAGGATCAAATCATTTCCTCCTCTTGCCTGGAGTGGGAGCTGCAAGCGCGGCCTTGTCCCCACTCCCCCCCGCTCTCTAAGAGTGGATGTTTGGTCAGCCGAAGGCTTGTTGAGTGATCAGAAACGGTCTATGGAGACAAGGGAGCGAGATCGGACATGACACCGTGTGCCTACAACAGTCAACGCCTTGATGCGGAACTCGTACGCTTTTTTCTTTTCTGTCAGGTCGCCAAGCCGTCACATGCAGGGCATTTACAGCCGAGACATGCACGAGCTCAAAAGTCAGCTAGTAAACTTGCCGGTTGTCGCCACAAGCTACGAGCAAAGCTCGCCCCGCGTCGATGGGTATTTGCAGCTGAGAGTGAGATTGAGCGGGCTCCCCCGATGTTCTCAGCTCACGCTCACGCTAGGACGACCTAGCAGCAGCGTGGAGAGGGGCTAGTGGTCTTTCTCAAAATCGTGGTTCCTTCTTTTTGGGAACCCTAAATAGTAAACCCTAAACCCCAACCCCAAACCCTAAACCCCTTGTCACAGTGACTCCACTTCACTCTCCCTGTCTGTACGACCGACTCCTGCTGCGGAGGCCGGCGCAGAGGAGCAAAAATCGTGACTCCAAAAGGGAACAAAAAAACTAGAGAAGTGACCTCATCCCTCCCCCTAGTCTTCACCCGCCCCCCCCCCCCCCCCTATACTAAAATAGACCTACGAGAGAGTATTTAGAGCATTAGGGGGGGTTAGGGGAGGTTTAATACCCGGGGCCACCTGCAAGGAAGAAACTGATTTCATGCCTTGGGGACTCATTCTGAACCCTAGACAGGTTTCATAGCTCATATACCTTATAAAAGGAAATATATTATGAACCCCAAAAGGGTTTATGGTCAATAATTCTGAACCCTAGAAGGGTTATTTATGTATATATGTATATTATATATACATACACATTTTTTTAGCTCATATATACCTCTAAAAGGGTTTAATAGCTCGTATACCTTAAAAGGAAGTACGGTAGTCAGAATTATGAATCCTAAAAGGGTTTATGGGGGTCAATACACCTTAATAGGAATTATAGTAATCAGGGTATATGACCCCAATTTTAGGGTTCATTTCGTCCCCAAGGTGTTAAGGCAGTTCAAAACATCGCAATGGAACATTCACTGCTAATTGCTTAAGAACTCCACCCCCCCCCCTCCCAAATTGTTTTCCTTATAAGTGTAATATGAGGATCATTATTTTAGTTCTTGGGGGTAAGGATTGAGCAGCGTTCAGCAACCGCAGGGGGCTTCCGTCTAGAACATCCCTGTCTGTCGTTTCATTATCGCAATGCTGGGGAGGTGCGACGCTCAGAACTCAGGGTTTAGGGTTTAGGGGTTTAGGGTTTAGGGGTTAGGGGTTTAGGGGTTTAGGGGTTTAGGGTTTAGGCTTTAGGGCCAACCTCCGAAGTCCAGAGAACCTGCCCAGCATTCGCCTCACAAGCCTCGACGCTCGACGTGCAAAACGTCGAAAGATGCCACTGCCTCCGCAGTCGCCTGCGCCGCCTGCCGACTTGGGGTTTAGGGTTTAGGGTTTAGGGTTTAGGGTTTAGGGTTTAGGGTTTAGGGTTTAGGGTTTAGGGTTTAGGGTTTAGGCTTTAGGGCCGCTAGTTGGGTAGTGCTGCTTACCAGGATGGGCTATGAGGCCTTCTAGTCCCCATAATCAACCCTACAAAGGTTTCTTTGAGGGGTTCTAGGGTATCATAGCCCTCCCCCTGGGAGCGACTCCTTCTTGCTCCATTGACGGTATCTGAACGACTTGGAGTGTGGGGCCCTGCACGCGTGCAGGAAAGCGGATTCGAGTTGAGTGGACCTGGTGTCGCCCCCTTTCACTGGTGGCCAGGACGACGACCAGTCCAGCAAGAGCACCAAAAACCCTTTATCCTGGACACCCATGAAAACACATAGCGGGCAGCATCGTGGAGAGCGCAAGAAGCTGTAATTTGTCTGGGACCAGTTGGCCCTAAACCCTAACCCTAAATCTTGAACCCTAAACCCTAAACCCCATGCCACCCAAGCTTGACCGATTTGGAAGTTGCACTACGAACGGGCTGCGTGGCTACGTGGTGGACCCCAGAGACTGGCACGATCCAGACCTTTAGCAGACCACTACTATCGGGGGGTCTGAGTCATGAGAACAGGGTTGTGGGGTTCGAAAATTTATAAAGGGACCCTAAAAAAGACTATTGGTAATTATTCCGACCCCTAGAGCCATCTGAAATCAAATTTCAGGCGGCTGCGATGACTCGAGAGCACTGGTATAGATAGTCCCTTAAGAACGCCAGACCCTAACCTCCTGCGAGCCCTAAACCGTTAGAGCCTCTGTGGCCTGTCTCTGCCCCGGGGTTTAGGGTTTAGGGTTTCGGGTTTAGGGCCTGCTTCTGCCGCTGCCAGGGTGTCGGCGCTTTTCCAGGAGCTGCGAGATGTCCCAAGCATTCACCACCGCTACCTCAGCAACCGTTTTCAGATACTCGGCCCAAAACTTGCTAAAACTCGGGGATGTAAACAGCTTCCTCCCGACGGGCTTGCAGCATCAAGGTCTCGGAAGCGCTACAATGGGGGCGTTAAGTTGAGCAGTGAGGTTTCGGATGCAGCGACTTGAACGAGCCCCTACGAGCAAACGCTAAAGCCCAAGTCCAAACAAAACCGCATTCAACATGGGTGGTTGTCAAGATGATGGTCCCTTTTGGGGTCCCTAATATAATACGGTACCCAATATTTAGGGTACCCCAAAAGGGATCATAATTTTGACAACCACCCATATGTTCTTCTGTCATGACAAGCGCGACGCCTTAAGGCGCCCCTTCGTCTAAGTCTTCGGCGCTGTGGTGGTCGGACTCAGACATCCTCAGGTGAGAGCGAAGCGCGTTTTTTCATAGAGCCTTCTTTCAGGGCGCGCTCTTCTCACTTCGCATTCCCTGGATATATGGGTTTAGGGTTTAGGGTTTAGGGTTGCTGCAACACTTGGCAATACTTGGTGGTATGCACCAAAACACCTGGATTTGTCTTGAGAATCCCAATCCCAACACCGCACTCTCTGAGCCCTCCCACTGAACCCTAGCCTTTGCCTGACATCCTTCAGCTACTTAGTTGTCCAGTACGTAGGGGTTTTAAAGGCTAACCTTTGGGATTCTAAGGGGAATATACTAACCCAAAAAGGTTAAAGGTTACCTACTCTACTACTAAGGCTAAGCCTGCTAAGCCGGGCGGCCAAACTTTTGTGGACCTCTCGAAGCTCAGCGCGCGCTTCATCGACATCTCCTGGGCGTCATCGGAGCGGTCCGCTCAGGATAGTCGGGGGATGTAAGGATGTAAGGATTGTCACGACTCCGCATTGCGGCACATGCATGCGTCTCGCAACTCTGCTACCTACCCTAAGCGTAGTATATACTTGGGCCCTAAAGCTACTATATGGGAACACCTTTAAGGCCTAGTATAGGTACATGGACCCTTAGGGCTAGAGCTCTAGAACCCTGGAAGCCGACAAATTCAGCCGAAGATGCACCGTCGGTGCCGAAGAGGCGAACAGGATCGCGGCCTCAGGAGAAGCTCCGAAGCATCTCCCAACGTCCCAAAGGCCAGCTTGCAATAAACCCTAAACCCCAAACCCCAAACCCCAAACCCTAAACCCTAAACCCTAAACCCTAAACCCCAAACCCGAGAATCCCCCTTATCTGAACCTCCCCTGAAACTCAAAAAGCCAATGCTGCGGAGCCGCCGGACTCTTTCCTCACGAACCTGCAGGGGCTAATGAACTCCATCGCCGCTGTGGAGATGCGAACACGAGGCCTCACTTAGGGTTTAGGGTTTAGGGTTTAGGGTTTAGGGTTTAGGGTTTAGGGTTTGGGGTGGACTCGTTACGTTTCCTACTATAGGGGCCTTAATGACTGGGATAGGGTTTTGGGGTTTGTTATAGTATTGTGAGCGAGGGACCAGAAGGGAATGCGATTACTTGCGTGATTATTCCGACCCCTAGATTACACGCGAAATCTGGTGTCGAAGAGTTCTTTACTGTCAAAACTTGTCAGGACTCCGAAACCCTAAACCCTAAACCCTAAACCCTAAACCCTAAACCCTACACCCTAAACCCTAAACCCTAAACCCTAAGGGTAGCTACCACCAAACTGTAGCCCTCTTCACCTGCGTTATGAAAGTCTTTTGGGTTCTACCCCCACTAAGTCAGGGCAGACACTACTAAACTGTAGGTACATGGAGCCCCAAAAGATGCGACTGCATGAGGGGCTTAGGGTTTGGGGTTTACCCTAAACCCTAAACCCTAAACCCTGAACCCTGAACCCTAAACCCTAAACCCTAGGCCATGGCGGCTAGGAGGTCACGCAAAACCCCGACCTGCGCGGCGGTGTGCTTGTAAATCGTGATACCAGGCTGGGCTCCGATACCTTTTTCATGCCTTAAAAAGGGCTCTTCATAGGGTTGACTATGGGGATCATAAGGAATGCGCTATTGTACTATTATACCTTCTGATCCCTTAACAAAAGGCACATTTATAGGGTTGATTGTGGGGATTAGTAGGCCTCGTAACCAGTCCTGGATATCCCAAATGATGCCTACCCCGAAACCCTAAACCCTAAACCCTAAACCAGAAATCTACATCGTCATAAGCTCTTAGCCAGGGTGCCGTGTTTGGGCCTTGCACTCCCAGTCCAACTCTTCGAACGAAGGCTTGGCGGACCTAGGACAGCCGAGCCCTAAACCCTAAACCCTAAACCCTAAACCCTAAACCCTAAACCCTAAAACAAAGCAACCAAACGCGTTTTGTGTTTGCTGCACCCTACTACCCCCCCCCCCCCCCCCCCCCCCCCCCCCCCCCCCCCCCCCCCCCCCCCCCCCTACCCCCCTGCCTAGCCCCCCCCATAGGAGAAGGACCAAAAACAACCGAATTTGTTGTTTTGGAAGGCGGTCAAAACCACGCATTTTGTGTTGGCTGCACCCTACTACCCCCCCCCCCTCCCCCCTACCCTCACCCCGTACCCCCCCCCCGGCTGCACCCAACACCCCCCCCCCCCCCCTCCCCCTTTCTCCCCCCCCCTTGAGATGAAACCAGAGCGTTACCAGCCTCCGGGTACAGCTGGCAAGGCACGCAGGTGTCTCTTTTAGCTCTGCTGGCTAAGTGTATCACTCTGATCCAGAACCTCGGGCACAGGCCACTGCATGCCATGATGACTGAACCCTGTGGCATACCTGTCTCTATTTCAGTCAGGCACAAATTTAAAAATTCAGCTCATTTGGCATGTCGTATGACGATAGTGGCGGCCACGAGGTCTCGTTCCAAAAACGAAACATAGCGAGAGTGCGCAGCAGTAAGTTTCTATACAAATCAGCAACTATTCACAAGAGCAGTCAACGATAAGGGTGTGCTTCACAACAGCAAAAACAAAAAGCCCTGAGCTCGTCTCCGTTCTTTTATCGGTGAAGGACTTGTTGTCACACCTTCTCAACTGGAGTTGAGTTCGCGCTTGACACACTTATCCCAAACAAAAGAACAGCTACCTTCCCTGTGAGGAAGCATGCTTTTGTGGCTCCCACGCATTTTGTACATGCGCTACCGCGAAGCCTGTTGCATCACAAGACACAACTCACAGGACGAGCTGGATTACAGCAGCACCAATGAGGATGTAATCGTAGGAGGCGTTGAAGTAGAACTTCAACTTCTACCCCACGAAGACGGACCCCATAGGCGGAACTCCATCCTTGATTCCATGAAGGATCCCACGACCAATTGGACCAGTATGGGCCTTGAGAGGATCCCTTGCCTCTTGGCGAGCCTTCCCCTTTTGTGGCCTTACCAGCCCCTTTTCCTTTTGGAGGCGCCCAAAGTTCTTCATGTCTCCTTCTACCACTGGCTTCGTACTCGTAGACTTCAGGGTTGTCGTCGAAAGAGACTTCTCTCCTCGCAGCAGCTGGCTTCGCCGCTGGCTTAGCCTTTGGAGGAGCTGCTGGCTCTGGCACTGCTGAAGGTTCCTCACTTGGAAGCGAGCCTCCTTCCTTGCTCTTGCTTTTGCCTTTGCCAGGTGGAGCACGACCTTCGCCTTGTACTGGTTCGGCAGGAGCACCACGCTTTTTAGCCTTCTGTCTCTCTTTCCTGGATTGGGACGCCTGCAAGATCGACTCCTTCGACCTGTACGTCTTCTTCTCAGAGAACTTCATCCAGTTAGGAGCGATGTGTAGAAGCAGTGGTGTGTGACTGTCATTGTCCGAGGGCTTCAGGAGGAAGTGGTTCTTCGTCGAGTGCAGCAAGAATTCACTCACCGAAACCTTGTACTCCATGCTGCCCTTGTACTCAGCCCACACCTCATTGGTCATGCTATGACCCCATTCGAAGACGATGGCAGTCATGCAGTCCAAATCAGGAAACGTCGTCCAATCCACTAGGTGGCCCACATCGCCGTAGGGGAACCCAAGCTTCTCCTCGTAGAGTTTGAGAAGATGTAGAGGGTTCGAAGTCACGACGCGTGTCCTTGGGATCAACAACCTGTCCTGACGTTGGTGCTTCTCGAAGGCGTCGACGAAGTACTGGATCGTCGAGAAAAGGGCTGAGCTGTCGTGTGACACTGACCCCTGTTGGCTACCTCCGAATCGGTAGCATGACATGTTGCCATCTCCGCCCATCAGATCCACTTGGTAGTGGAAGCAGTCAGCGACCATCGCAGCTAGTCCCTCGGCCAAGAAGCCGGGCTTAGAGCGTGCGATTTCACTTCGAACGTGGAAGTTGCAGACACGAATTGACTTCATGCCTGCACGCGTGAGATCTTCCTTGAACTCGGCCTCCTCGAAGGCGGACTCCACTCGATCAACCAGGTCTTCTTGTTCCATTCTCTCTCGAGGAATGGTACTTCCAAAGTTGATCTGGACGATCTCATATCTGATGGGAATCCAGGCATACGCAGGGTCTTTGAGGACCGGACCAGCAAGGTGCTTGAAGCTGACCTTGTTCTTGCCCTTGGTGTTTCCTCTGACAGCAGTGAGGAGATCTCCTGCCTCATTTGTTCGGAACAACCAGCCCTTGGACCTGAAGTAGTCCAACTCTTCTCTCGTCATGTTGTTCTCCTGCAGCAGAATAACATGTGCCTTGGAGTGAGAGAGGAACTTCACAATGATGGAGCTTCCATCGGAGTAATCCGAGATGAGGTCGGCATACTTTGGAGGAAGTGTGCCCTTTCTGCCCCTCGCGAAGTTCCCCAAGTTGGCAACCATCACGCTAAGACCTACTCTGGAGGTGGCCAAATGCGTCATCTCTGCCATTGGATCGGGTTCCTCAGCAAAGGCTGAGCTTCCCAAGCTCGTGGTTTCGAGACTTCCACAGGCCAGAAAGTGCCGAAGAAGAGTGTTCAGAAGATCACCTCTCGTAGCATTGGTTTTTGCCAGTGACTCCATCAACAGCGCCTCCTTCTCCGCAATGGCAACATGGGCATTGTATGATCTCTCAAGTGCATCAGTCGAAAAAGTGCTCCTCACATCAATGCTCTTGAAAGCCACTTGTTTTGCTGCAGGACGAAACTCCCACAACGGTGGCATCGTCGCCATTGTCTCGAAGAAGGGCACTTCTGGAACCTGGAACTTCCAATTTGACCGAGCAGGAGCCGCTCTATCCCTCCAGCTCATATGCTGGAGTCGAAATCGGTTCTGAGCCGACTGCGCCCGAAGACCACCATGGAGAATGCCATCACTTTCTCCATACTTCTGCCGACTGAGGATGTAGATGGGCGAACCCTTTTCAACCCTCTCCAGCTCATCAATGAAGCGCTGGTACTCGGGCAACTGCTCCAGGGTCGCCTCTTCCTTTTTGTCGGCAAAGGATCGAAGAGCATCCTCATTCTGCTGAGTGATCTCTTGGAGATCCTGCGGAGTAATAACAGTCTGTACATTACCCCACAGGCCTTGGGGCGTTCCCGAGGGTGCCTCACTTGGAAGTGAGCTTCCCTCTGTTTCCCCAGTGGTGACCATTGGCGTAGAGGACTCCTCCTCCACCTTGAAGTCACCTTCCTCGACCTTCAACTGGACTTCGGGATCTGGCTCCTTGACCTCTTCGGTCGCATCGGGCATTGGCTCTTCTTTGATGTGCGCTTCGGAAGATGGCGGTGGTCCCTCTGCTGTAGCAGAGCCCGCTTCCTCTTCCATTGTTGCATCCAGAGAGGAAGGCGCCACCTTGGGTTCCTCAACTCGTGTTGAGCTTCCCCAGGATTCATCGACCTCGATGACCTCCTCGATTTTGATGGTTCCTTCATTGTTCTCGAAGGTTCTCTCAAGCTCAAAATCTTCCACAGGAATGCCAAGGTAGTAGTCGACGAATGCCTCCTCGGACTGGCGAATCTGCACATACTGCTGCAAGTCCTGAACGGCCTTGGAAGCGAAGCGAGAGAGGAACTTCCGCTCTGGGTACGAAGCGACGGTGCGTTCGATTTTCTTCAGGATGAGTTTGGGCTCAAACGGGAGCCTCAATGAGCAATCTCTATGCTCACTATTGTCCTGTGCGCGCACAACAAACTTGTTCCGAAGTGCTTGGTTGTCACGATTCTCCTTCATGTACAAGAAGAAGTCACTGCCATAGAGTTCCACGAACATGTCGTAGAGGTTGACGAAATCGCTCTGAATGTTGATGAGCTCCTGGGCCACCATCAGCTCGTGCCGAAATGCCTGGTACTCTGCGAGCTTCTCAGCGTAGTTCTCTGTGCCTTCAACTGGCATTCGATTTCGCTCATCTGTGACCTCAGGCTTTGCTCTCCCGTAAAGAATTCCAGGGGTGAAGACTGACTCGGCCTTAGATCTGAGCTCGGTGAAGTAGTCCGCGTCCCAAAGTGGAGTATGATGGTCATAGTGAGAGACCTTCAACTGAAAGTCAATGAGCACATTGGCGGCTATCTTCCCCAGTCTGAATGCCTCCAGGAAGAAGAGAACCGGGTATCCACTCAGAGGATTGTGCAACCAAAGAGCCTGATCAAGCTGGAGCTTCTTCTCACACTGACATGAACATCTCGGAATCGAACAACCTGTACATAGCCAGTGCCGTAGGAGTCAACCTTGCGCTCATTGTCCTCCATCAAGGCAATGGTGCCTTTGTAGAACAGCGTCCAAGGATTGGCCCTAAGCTGTCGGATCAGGTCCTCTTGGGCCCTGACTTTTTCTGCTTCAGCTGTCAAAGAAGTTTTTACACTCCCTTCAACTTCCATGCCACGCTCAAAAGGAATTCTTTTCCCTTCTGAGCTTGTTTCTGACTGCTGAACATGCCTCTTCTCCTCCTCTTCAATGATCTCTCGAAGGGAAGTGAGATCAAAGTGGGGCACTTCCCCAACCGTGGTTGGGCCTGTGCTAGGAGGCCCAGCTTCCTTCGTTGTTGTTCCAGAACCCTTGGATCCCTCTGCTGAGGCAGAGCTCCCTTTGGTCCCGGCTGAGCTGGACGCAGGGCCACGAGAGCTTGAACTGGGAGCTGAGGGTTCCTCAGCTTGTGCTGAGCGTCCCTCGCGTTTTTCCCACCTGCGTCCACCCGGGTCCTTCTCGTGAGGGGGCCTCCAGGTGAAATGCAGGTAGCTCGGTGGCACACTCTGGAAGCTCAGGATCACACCGTTGCACCCGTCTGAAATGGCCTGGTAGAGGTCCAACACGACATAGATGACATTCGAGCCGTAGCGGATGACAGTGCCAGCCCTTGGGGCCTCCTCCCCACCAGCGTAGGTG